GTATATATATAGCTATACGTACTTGCACGCACGCACACACTGAGAAAACTTAGCTACACCACCTCGAATCGCTCCCGGACGGGGGTTTGTATCTCTCTCTCTCTCTCTCTCTCTCTACGCGTATTACATATCTATAGATCGTACATATAGTTCCTCGTCGTTTATACGAGAACGAGCGAACAGAGTCTTCTTCTTCTTCCTCCTCCTCCCTCCCTCAACCAGCTCCTTCGGCAGAAGCGCACCTACCAGCGTACACACACACCCAGCGAACGACGTTAAACTCGTATTACACCAAAGGCTTTTAAACGCCGTTGTCCGTGTGTGTTTATAGTTATACGCGGGGGCAATTCGCGGAGATTAAGCCAATTTATAAGCAAAACGCTGGGGCCATTAACGCTCGCAGTGATTAGCTATATAGCGCGCGCAAGCAAGCAAGCACGAGCGAGCACAAGCGGCCGTCTCTCGATTTATTATATCTCCTTTTACGCGTGTATGTGTGCGCATCTGGTGTGTTTACGCACTCGAAACGCTGCTGGCAGCTATACGGGGCAAGTTTATATCAATAGCGATGATCGCGACTTTACTATTATGTCGTAGGTAGGAGGTATGCCTGTAAACCAGCAGCAGCAGCTTTTAACAACGGGGGTGCTGCTCGGTAGAGCATCTCTGTGTGTACGTTTTTGTTGTCGACGCCGTTTTGTGAGAATTGCGGGGCCGGCGTGACAATTGAATTCGCGGAGCTTTTTTAACTCGACGAGCTTTTTTAATTTTTGTTAGCGCGCGCGGAGACAATTGAATGGGTATTGTATAAACGCGAGTCATAATTAGTATACAAAAATGTCGAGCACGTTTTATACGTGTACGAATTCGGATCTCAAACAGGAGGAGCCTCCATTCCATCTATGAACAGCAGAGCTGCAAGCACGAAAGGCCTATAATATGTTTGTGTACGTACATATACGTCGGACACGGGTCCTTGTGCCTGTTACTTCTGGTATTTGTCCTATTATAGCTCCCGCGTGAGCGAGCTCCTGCCAACAGCCACTCAACATACACACACACAAATACACACACGTCAGTCTGAGAATGTCCAAATTGGAATAGCCACCGCGCGCACATATCGTCGCGCTAATTATACGACGGCGCGGGCGAGAGTAAAGGCTAACCGAGCTTAAGTCGTTGCAATTCGCGTGGCACACACACATACAATAATACAATGGGTATATATAATGCTGTATATTTGCGCAGCAAGGCAAGGCAACGCGCGAGATAGAGAGTGCACCCGGCTGTAATTAATAACGCGCCGTATACCGAGGCTTGATATGATTTTATATATGTATCGCAAGCGCATAGTGCGCGGCCCGTTTCGAGCTGACAGATCATCGTCGCGGCAGGAGCAGCAGAAGTATAGCAGCTTGTCGTTGTTGTTTAATACTCGTATATAATATACGCCTTTATAACCGCGTGGTAGAGGACTTTTATCCCGCACTTAAAATTTGCTCTTAAATTTATTGTCACGCTGACATTCCTTCGGGTCAAAGTGAGAGAAAGAGAGAGAAATACACGTGCACACACACATATAGACACACATTTACGGCTCTTAAAATATTGCCCGAGCTTATAATCCTGGGATTTCAGAGCCGTAAAATGCCTGGTTTATGAGCTTCTGGCCGACCGACCCCCCAGATCCTCTCTCTCTCTCTCTCTCTTTACACAGAGTCGACAGCGCCGAGAGAGAAAGAGAGACGTGCACTTCGACTATAAAGACGAAGAATGAGGCTAGACATGTAGTATATGAGTGTTTCTGACTAACTTTTAAAATTGCACGTACTGATGTGTAAGTCAGGTAATTTACCATGCACAGTTCTGAAATTTTATCAGGGTCTTTAAGAAGACTTGAGAGATCTACACTTTTATTTTTGAGCGTTTTGGTGGCCCGTCCTTTTTGTATCGCACGTTTGAAAATCGATTTTACTCTTGAGTCAAAAAACGTACTGCGAATAAAATAAATTTTCGATAGCTTCTTAAAAAATGGACTATTAACCAAATGATCTGAAATTATCATGTTACCTTCCTTTATTCACATACTTTAGAAAAATTTGTGACCTGAACTTGATCCTCCTAAATTGGAAATTTCCCAGAATGTTTTCCGCGCGTACTGGATTATTTGAACTTTTAGCTTTTTTTATACATTTTCATTTTTTACAATGGACTATTGTTTTTTTTTATATCTGTATACATGTTTAAAAAGGGCTGGAAAAGACGAACAAAATGAGCCCAACCAGAACTCTGTCCCTTATTTAATAAGAATTGTACGCTGGATTGAACATTCGATAATCCTGCGTTAATCACTTAAAAATTTTTGAAAAAAATTTTTTTTTCATGAAATTTTTTTCTACTATGAATAAATTAATTAATTTATAAAAAAAATTTTTTTCATGGGAAATTTATAAACAATTTTTATAAAAAATTTTTTTTTTCATGAAAAATTTTTATAAATATATTTTTTTTCATGAAAAATTTTTTTCTTATCATGAATAAATAAATTATTCAACAAATAATTTTTTTTCACACACTTTCTTTTTTTATTTAAAAAATTTTGCTATATCATCAAGGGCAAGGCCGTAAAAAAAAAATTTTACATTTAATTCATTTATAATGACTACGCAATTCGCCTACGTAGATAATTATGTGCGGGATGATATAAGTAATGTCACATGAAAACACATGAAAGAAAAAGGGGTTTTTTCGCTTCAAAAAGTGCATAAGGAAACTTGAAAAAATCCAAAGAAATTTAAGGTCATGTTTTTCAATGCATAAAACAGAGAAAAAAATTTTCGAGTTTGATATTGGCTCGTATCGCCGTATATAAATTTTCCAAATTTTTAATTATTTTATCTGAAGGCCTGAAGCCCTCGAAAAATCTGAAGAAATTCAAGGTGCTTAGTTTTGTTGATATGTACTATTATGAATTTTTTCAGATTTTTTAATTACTTCAGGGCTTCAGAATGAATATAAATAAAGAATGGACGTTTATAGGGGTGGAGGGGGTAGGAGGGGGGGATGGGGAGTAAAATTTTGGCTTTAGGATTTTTTTACCATGTACTATAACATATCAAAAGCGCATCTAGATCGGTGTCATTCGAAAATTTGAAGAAGTTTTATTTTGACCCACATTTAAATCGGGTTTCCCAAATGGACTATGGAGGAAAATAAAGCCCAAAGTTATTTTTGGGATTCTTTGTTGATAATATTCAAGAAAAATTCATTCCGGATACTGAGCCGCTAAATTTTTCATCAAAAATTTTTTTAGGCGTTATTTTAAAAGTTAGTCAGAATCACTCATATGCAGGCAGTATGTACTCGTCAGCAGTGCATGAATGCCACGGACCAGTTGAAAAGACGATCGGTCGTGTGTGTGTGTGTGCGATGTACGTGCACGATATATTGATTTCGCGATGCTGCTGCGGGACGGGATGCGATGTCGATAAAATATGTACATACATCCACCCAAGAGAAAGAGAGAGAGCTCGTTGACCGTTCACTTATCCCTCGAAGACAGATATGTGGTTTTATGTATAGGATAGCAGCTTACCGCGGAAAGCCGTACTTGTCAATGGGTAAGTACATTATCGTGATAATCTGAAAATATCGTCGTCGAAATTTTCCAAAAATCTAGTTTCCATTTCACGAATTGTATATCGCCGAATCAGCTCGCGAGCTTTTATATCGGGAGCTTTCTGTATACAATGCAAATGACTGGCGGAGCATAAAAGAGCGAAAATCTTCTCTCTCGCGCGCGCGCGAAAAAAGGAGTAATAGAAGAAGAGGAAGAAGCGCGCGCGCAAAAAAAAGAGAGGACGGCGCGAAAATGTGTTCAATCACCCGTACTCTGATTCTCTGAAAGGATTTTACGACCTATATATATACGTACTACACAGCAGCCAGCAACCGAGAGCTGCAGGGTAGATGAACTTCGCGAGCTTCATTTGTGCGCGGGACGAGGCAGCGACGCTACGCTGTACGCTGTACGCGGCGCCGGCCAGCAGATTAATCCAAAACTCTCTTATGGGGTTCATCACCGCGGCTAAATCGAGCGTGTCGCGCGCGCGCCTGCGACGTGGGCTACATACCACCTAGCTTTTATCATTTTTTTTTTTTTTAATATCAGGCCGATTCTCGAGGGGAAATCGAATGGCCGAAATTTTTTTTATTCCGATGCCGTGAAAAGCTTGTTGATTATAACGTCATACGTGCTCGAAAATTTAATTCGATATTTTAAGACGAATCTATCTTTCGATCTCTTTCGATCAAAAGTTGGCATTTTTTCAAAAATTACTGTTAATGCTATTATGTGAAACACCTGATTCATACCCGAGAGCAAACTACTAGAAAAAAATGCTCCAGAGCTTTTTCTGACCAGAAATTATATCTTAACTATTAAAAGAAAAATAACACAAAATGGTTTAATTACTTTTCGAGCTCGTTACTGCACAAAGGAACATAAAAGTCAAAGTCGAATAAAGTTCGAGCTAGATTTTTAATATCTAAAAATTGTTTGAACCCATTCTCCTCAATTATATTTTCCGAATTTATGTATTGATGGAAAATATCGATAATTCCAAAGATCGAACAATTGACCCCTCAAAACCTGCAAATTCAATGACTAAAAGGATTCCATTTGTAAAAGGCACATTTTTCACAAAATTATGTACTACATCAGAGTCAGCGCGGTGTTGTACACACTAGTTGTTATAATTTTTTTCCTCATATAACTCACGTATGAGTAAGCAAAGTTTGCCCCTTGATGAATGCAATTTGAATTGCAACTTTGGTGTAATTTCAATGATATTCGAGTCCCACTATGCATCACAGTACATAAGTGTGTGTGATGTATAACCAGTCGACAGTAGAGGGGGAAAGTATCGCCAAGGAGCTATCCCAATCACGGGGTTTATTCGCTATAATATACCAGTAGTGAGTTCAGTCGACGGCAAAGAGCTAAATTGGCCTTCAGTAAGCAAGTGTTTACAAATAACATCAGTAGGAGAGTATAGATATCCTATCTAAAGTCGAATTACAATACAGTGTTGGCTACTCAGGGAGTTTAACCTCGAATATTTTCTCAGTGCGTATTTGTGAAAATTCAAAGTTATTTCATATAATAAAAACAAATGATGGAAAGCAAAGAAGACACGGTCAGGTATTATATTTGTTGTACATGTTACGTTACTTTTTGAAAATTAATCAATCATTAAACTTGATTGTACTTTATAGGGTGAAAGAAGAACCGACTGATATCTGCCCGGATGCAGGTGACAATTATAGTTTCGATTCGATGAACTCTTGCGAAGTCAAAAACCATGAAAATTTCACGTTTGACAAATCATCAGTGAGTTCAATGGTTTGAATTATGCTCTAATTTTTCTCTATCAGAAACTATACAACACAATTTTAATTCTAGGAAAATCACATGAATCAAAAAATGGCGTTACAGGAAAAGTTAACGACAACAATCTGCAAAACTGAATATCAAAGTTATCCACCTGTTGTGAAAGTAGAACATGAAAATCAGCGTAATGACTCGAATGAAAAAATATTTATTGATTTTGAGTGCAAAAATGTTAAACTTGAATCGAATTGCTTAAACGAAAAAGATGCAACAATTTTGACAAAAAAAGAATTCGATTACGATAATCACTGTCAAATTCAAGAGAGTTCCGGATTGACATTCGACGAATACAAGGAGATTGAAAAATCTAGAAAAACTATTCCAACCAAATTATTTGATGAGTATATAAAGCATGGAAAAACTTATAAAAAAAAAGTGAACCTGAAAATGAGACATATGAAAATGAAACACAAGAGCATTAGACATTATGAATGTGAAATTTGTCACACATCATTTGTATCCAAGAGTAATCTCAATCAACACATACGGGCAGTACATAATCAAATGCGATTCTTCGAGTGTGACATTTGTCAAAAATCATTTGGACTAAAGTTTAATCTCAAAACTCACATAAATGCAGTTCATGATCGAAACAAACCCTTCGAATGTGACATCTGTCACAAATCATTTGGCAGCAAAGGTCACCTCAATATTCACATAAAATCAGTACATGATCGAATAAAACCCTTCAATTGTGACATTTGTCAAAAATTATTTGGACATAAAAGTAACCTCAAAGTTCACATCAATATAGTACATAATCAGAACAAACCCTTCGAATGTGAGATTTGTTACAAATCATTTGGACAAAAAAGTGATCTCAAGAAACATACAAAGATAGTACATGATCGTAGCAAACCCTACGAGTGTGAAATTTGTCACAAATCGTTTGGACAAAAGGAAAACCTTAGTATACACATAAGTGCAGTACATGAACGTAAAAAACCTTTCGAATGTGAAACTTGTCACAAATCATTTGGACTCAAACATCACCTCGAATATCACATGAATGCAGTACATGATCGCAGCAAACCCTTTGAGTGTGATATTTGTCGCAAATCATTTGGACAAAAAAGTGACCTCCAACGTCACGTTAATGCAGTACATGATCCTAGCAAACCCTTCGAGTGTGACCCTTGTCAAAAACCGTAAGGATATCAGAACTATCTCATAAAGCACATAAAGGTGCTTTTATTTAGTACATAGTCAAATCAAACCCTTTTGTTTGTCACAAATCATTTGGATTCAAGGGAGACTTCAATGAACATAAATTTGATTAATGCTCGTACAAGAATCCTTTGAATGAGGGATATGTCACAAATTGTATAGCCGCAAGGATTACATAAAATCGCTCATAAATAAATTATACATTCGTATCCCATATTTCAAGAATGAAGTTGTCAAAAATCATTTATTGGAAATCAGAATAAAGACACATAATGATGGTGTATAATTTCAGCAATCCCTAGGAGTGTAATGTTTGTTCAGAGACATTTGGAGAACATCTTTTATTTGAGTATTGTTTCATTTGTTAATTTAATTGTTATTTTAATTTATTGAATGTGTTGTACATAAAATGTCCCGTACTTAAATCAAGATACGAAAAGTTGATTTTATTTTAGAAGGAAGCTTACTGCCAATGATTTTTCAAAGCTCTCTAATTTTTTTCATAAAGGGGAAAAATGTGAGTATAGAAATATCGGTACTTGGGTTCAAAATGAGTACCGTACTATCTACAATTCTCTTTTCAACGTTTTTACGTATTTTTGATTAAAAAAGTATTAATCAACACTAACGCCCTGCGCACGATTTTTTCACGTTTACATGAGTCGATTCATGCAGAGCCACGTACCTATCCGATCAGGGTCAAGCGCTGATATCGTTATCTTACTGAAAAAAAATAAACGCAATGCAATAAGTTTTCCTTTAGTCGTGGGACCTGTTTATTTAATTAAAAAGTATAGCCAGTAGGGTTTCATTCGATGTATCAATTCTAATGTAGCTCCTAGATGGCGCCTCTAATACTCGCAAGTGGTTTGACATTGTTAGATTATTACATACAAAATCATAAATCCATGTCCAATGTTATTTTGTTATTCAAGCCTCTAAATAAAGGTAATGTACGATCCCAGGAATTCCCCAAAATTCTAATCAAATTTTGGAACATTTATGACGTTAAAACAACGTTTTTTATGCCGAGGAAAGATAAATTATTTCACCATTCGATTTATTAAAAAATTGGCCATTTACGTACATCGGTAATTTCCCGTGCGACTAAATTTTCATTCTATTACAATGAAACAAAATCTGGTTACAGGACGGCCAGTGGCAAGAGATTTTGGGTACGTATATTTCGTGAACTTTTACCTCTGCTTCGGGTCTAGACGCTATACGTACGATTGTATCGCTTTTTTGTTTCAACGCGACACTACATTTCGTTATAAACGCTTCGTTACCACGACGATGACGACTTTTTGGCAAGGATTTTGTCGTCGTCTGTCGAATTCCCGCCTATTTCAGCGAGAATATGTTTCGATGCGCGCATGAGTTTTACATCTACTCGTACAATTGTATTTGAAAATTTTCTCGCGTCTGCGAGAACGCGAGCGAAAAAGGTCTGGATTTTCGACGAGGATGAATTTATCGGATGATAGATTGAAAAGTGATTTTTATACTTATTCGGAAACTTCATTAGAAAACGTCAGTTGAATAAAACCGTGCAGTATACGCATAAAATTTTGATTAAATTGCGCGATCTTTAAAAAAATATTTCCCACGGTATAACGTGTTATCTGAATTTTTTTTCCAATAAATTTACGACTACGACCGTTCGGTCGGGGACAATACATACGATACAAATATGACGTGTGTTTATTTACCTGCGGATAGTTGACTGGGCGCGTTACGGCCAGATATCTGTCGAGACTTATGGCGCACAGATTCAGTATCGAGGCCGTGCACATCCACACGTCAACGGCCAACCATATCGAGCACCAAATGTCACCAAAGATCCACACCTGTACATCGAGAACGAAATTTAGTACACCCACTCGACACTCGTCGTCGAAGTTTTTTTTATAAAAACGCTCGTATTGCGCGTACCTTGAAAACCTCCCAGGTGGCGGAGAAGGGCAGCACGGCGACGCCGACCATGAGGTCGGCCACCGCCAGACTGACGATGAACATGTTGGTGACGTTGCGCAGCTTGATGCTGTGATAGACGGCGGCGATGACGAGGCAGTTGCCGACCACGACCATCACGTTGACGACGGCCAGCACGCAGAGCGTCACCACGATACCGGGACTCGACCACTCGACTGCCTCGTACAAAGCGTTGCAGGCACTCTCGTTCAGTTCCCTCATTTTACGCCCACCCCACCAAGCGCGCGCGAGCACACGAAGCTGCTGCTGCTGCACCCCCGAGCTTGCAGTAGAGTAGTTCGAGTATACACGGGGCACACGCGGGGACGAGCGAGAGCGAGAAAATTCAAATTTTTCGACGACGGGGGGGGGGGGTAGGAAATTCGAACTATACACTTTTGACGCACTCGTTCACGCGAAGCACAATGACCAACCACGCGGGCGGGCTCGAATATTTATATATTGTTTCGACCGCGTACACACAACACAGCACAACACAGCACAACACAAAATGTGTTTTATTACACTTTTTTTTCTTCCTCTCCGGTACCACGTTGTTGCATGTACACGGAAAGCGAGGGTCGAGCGCTTTTCCCGCGCCACCCGTTGATCAAGTTAATTCTATTCGTGTCTTATTCGACTCTTCTCTTAAATTCAATAAAACCTATTAAATACTGGATTAAATTTCTTTTCTCTCTCTCTCTCTCGTACTGTCTCCCTGTCTTTATCGTAGCGTACAAACTCTCTCCGTCACATCGCGCTTAATTTAATTTTCCCTTTTTTTTTTCGTCCTCGTCGTCGTCGTCGTCGTCAGGAGCTTAAATCCAATTAGTTTGTCAAGACCACGGGGCTATTTTACGCCATGCTTAATAATGTGGGATTGTCAATTGTCGCTCGTAATATCGAATACTTGTAATTTACATCGAGAGAGCAGAAGTCAGGGGATTTCGAGAAAGAGAGATCTTCGAGTGTATACGGCATGGACGATTCGCTCTCTTTTGCATCGATTTGCTTGTGCGCAAATATATTATATATGTACCGTCGTTATATGTATATAGCTATATCTTCGGTCTCTTATCGATACCTTTGATTGTGACTGCTTGAACTTTCAAATTTTCCTCGGGAATCGTTTTTCGCCTTCCTCGAGAGACGAAAGCCGCTCTCTCTGTGCTGCGCTGCTTCTGCTTCTGCTGCTGCTCCATGCATAAATAACGTCTTGTCCCCAGCAGCTCAACATCGAGAGACCAAAGGATAGAGAGAGAGCAGGAGCCAATTTAAGGAGTATTGAAAAATAGAGTGAACTATATAACCTATTCGTATTATATGAAAAAATTCGTCACCTCCTGGGCGTTATACTTTTTCTTCTTCTTCTTTCTTCTCCTTTTTTTATATCTAATAACTTTTTTTTTATCGCTTGTACTGAGAATTTTTCGCCTACAGTCGCAACATCTCTATTATCTGCCTCTCGCACTCTCTATCTCTTTCTCTCACTCTCTAAACGTTAAAAAATGTATTTATCCAATTACTGAGCGGTCGTCCGTCAATGATGATCGCGAAATCATTTGACAGCGATGATAACAGCCGACGTTTTCTCTTGCAAATGATAAAGTTGCAACGCGCGGCCGAGGCACTCGTCAACCAAGACAATGTGGCGAACGCATGCTGCTGCTGCTGCCGTTGGCTTTTTCGATTCTCGTCGTCTTTGTCGTTGCTTCTCGCGATCGGGCTTAATTCGAGTCGAATCGAGCTGCTCCTTGCTTCTTTTTCTCCCTCTTCCATCTTGCGAACTTCTGGAACAAGCGAGGAAACGTATAAATTATTAGATTGTTAAAATAGCTTTTAATTAATTTTAATTTTAGTTTACCCCATTAGTTGGCCTAATGTCAATGGGGACCAGTGCTTACAGATAATGCTTTTATGCTACTTAGAAAAGTCAATTTTTCAAATGCACTTTTACTTTTTTAAATCGATAAGCAGATAAAAAGTTTAGAGTAGATGTGTGTCGAAGGTTTCATTCACAGTTCACTCGCATTGACGAATAGACCAGCTCGATGGTCGAGCTGATAAGTAAAGGAATTGATCGACGAACACACAACTAGGCGAGATAAGGTAAAACAGTTGAAAAATGGATCATATAGGTAACACGTGTTTCTCGGTTTTTTTTTCGGGAATAGTAGAGCGTACATTATCATCCTTGAATCGATAAAATTTTCTGGTTTATAAAGCGATGCAAGAGCGTGTAGATTATTGGACAAAAAACGTCTGAGAAAAAAAAATACTTATCCAGTGTGGTATACTGGATAACTACAAAACTGGTTTCAGTGACCGGCGCCTTTAGAACTAGGACATGAATGTACCATAGATTTCGTGCACACACATACACAATAAACCCCAATAATCCCAATGCGACAAGAGCTTTTGGCTACTTCGAATTGCCGATCTACACAAAAAAGCGATTGAATTCTGCGAATTTTTAAGGGGATTCGGAGCCGGCTCGTATAGAATCGATAGTTTTCTATTCGACTTTCTGAAAATTTAATGAACAATTTTTTTTAAGAGTATTATAGTGTGCGATATTCTAATGTTAGAATCTGTTTGATAATCTATGATCGTTAATCATCTTATACAATTATTTTGAATTTATCACTTGCAGGTTTATAGATTTAAAGGTACTCGCCATCTAGTGGTGGAAACTGAAAGTAGTATTATCGTATTTCAAGTAGTTGAAAACTGGTCAATTACAGCCTTATTAATAAAACCTGCAGGAACAGGTCACACATCGCTTCTGCTTAGAACGGCAACGCAGCGATTGAATCCCGAGAAATACTTTTTTTGCTGCGCGATGTAAATAACTACTAATTGTAATGAATTGCTTTTTGTACGGCAACGGTGGTATGTAAGTTTGATTGATAAAACTGCACGTTCATTTTTATGACGTAGCATTTAAATTTCATTTTTTCGGTTTACGACTTCAATAAATAAATATATCCTCTGTGCAATTTAACAAAATTAAAAAAAAAAATTTAATCAAGAAATAGAAGCGATACTTTTGGTGGGCTTGACTGCGTGCGGGTACCGAGCTAATAAACTTCATAGTTATCGCTTTTATCGTATTAGGACAATCGAATGTACTTATGCACACTTACATACCTCTTTACTTTTTAGAATGAGAAAGCTAGAAAGAGAGAGAGAGAGACACACACACACAGACACAGTCACGAGAATTTCATTGTACAAGTTTTGTTAGCCTACTTTGAAATTTAATTTACTACCCAAACCCCGAACTGCTGAAACAGTTCCTTTAAGAATGATACATGCGAGTTGCTCTCTCTCTCTCACTCCCTCGCTCTCTTTCGACCTCACAGCTGGCTTTGCATGTTAACTCTGTGAATATTATATAGAAAGCAAGCCAAAAAACAGCCCGGCGCAGCAGCAGCGACGACGCGAGCGTGTGTGCATATGCACCCCCGACCCGGCGTATTAGGTGGAATTTCTTCTTTTTTTTTCAACTGCAGCAAGTCATTAACACCGCTGGCAGGCGTATGTATACGTATTATAAGTACTAATACGGAAATGAATATACAGACTGACCTCGAAAATAATACAGATCGATCGGAATTCGGTATATTTACCCGTATAAACAACGATTTTTATATACACGATGTACTGCGAGAAATGAAGTGCATTATTTATATTTAGATGGAATTGGATTTCTCGTCGGTCTGGAGAGCCCTAATGCGCGTGTATACTTATTTTAATTGAGTTTCTTTTGCAAACAATTCGAAATCTTTCGAAAATCCTGAACGAGACGTAAAAAATTTATTCACCAAAAGTATGTTTCCCTTGGCTCTAAAGAATCACGCGAGCCACGATACATACTCGAGAATTTAAAAAGCAAGTATATACCGATACGAAATATATATAGTCATACAAACTGATACGTGGAGCCGACAAAAAAAAATAAAATAAAATAAAATAAAATTCGATTCTGTCAAAGGTATATTATTGGGGAGCTTTCGCGTAGTCGCATTGTGCGCCGTTCAATTTGGCCTTATTCAAAACAACGTAGCGGGGAACGTCGATGCGCACACGCGTGTTGCCCATTTATTTGAAACTTTTTTTGTATGTTCCCTTGTCGTAGTTGTTTTTTCTTATATTGTTCCGCGCAGCTGAACATTTCAAGTCGTATCATTTAAAGCGAACGAGAAACCGGCATGAGTTATTACAACAGAGCACGGTTAGTAATTTACGATTGTGATTCTATTTGTCTCATTTGTCAACGCGCGAACCAAACGACTGTTCGTGTATACAAACACTAGACAAATCTAAAACAAATATAATTAACTTTTTTTTCTACATAACATCGCTTTTGAATTCATACATATACCATTCGAATTTCTGTTGACGATGTTTTGCTCTGGACAGAGATACAGAGCGAGAGAGAGCGAGATAGAACTCTATACATCGAAAATAGAATAAATTTGAGAAATTCTGTCGGAGCTCTCCTACCTTCCATTACAATATGTATATGGTTGATTCTCCCGAAATCTGCTTTTTCGGGTATGGAAAACGAAAAAATGGTGAAAATTTTTTTGTCATATTGAACGGCGCGAACTAGTTTACCCTTTTTTAAACCATAAAATATGAATAATTATTGAATCTGGGGCTTTAAGATTTCGTTTTACGAAAACTATGTCCGATTTTATGCTTAAAATCGACTATTTTCGGTTACGGAGGTGACACACACGGAGGTGACAAATCGCTGCTTTGATCAACTATGTAAGAAAAATAAGAAACGCACAAAATTTTCCGCACAACCCGAAATTTGGTCATGAAAAACGAGTCTTTTGACGGGGCGAGCGGTTAAAAAGAATGATCATAGCTCGAGATATTCATGTCCACGGAGGTGACCGTTTTTTTGACACACGCGAATTTTTCAATAGAATAATTATCGCAGCATCGATAAAATGTAAAATTTGAACCCGCAACCTACACCAATCGAAAGCTGGGCTATAATACTTGACATTTACGTATCTAGCGACATCAAACATGAGTTAGCGACCCAAAGCAGGCGGTGTGTTTGAAATTATTCAAAAGCATGATTAAAATCCGAGACATTTTTCAATTGCGTGGGAAATTTTTTAAAAACATTTTTCAAAGCCCTATAATAGACTTAAACTTTACTCTGGATGTATAGAAGCTGGTCTCGTAGTTATTATAAGGTCAGGTGCTTATGAGAATGCATGGTAAATGCAAGTAGAGTTGATTTTGTGACCTAGACATGCCACGGAGGTGACATTTGGGATGTATATCTTCACGGCAAATTTAACTGGCACTAAAAAATTGAAATATTTATGTTCAATCATGAAGAATACAACAATATTAAATGAACGACCGAGCCAGTTTTGGCTCATCTTCACTAGTTTAAGAATATGACATAAAGACATGCAAAAAGCAGATTTCAGGAGAATCAACCATATCGTTTCGCAAAAATCGAACCCGCCACACGCTCGCCGAAGCTATTCATATGTATACACTATACATACATACATACATACATACACACGAAGTTGTAAATTAAGGAAAATTGCATTTTCGATCAATGATTAATTGTTTATCGGGGGGTCATCGTTTCCATTGAATTTTTCATACGCGCCCGATAACCTACTTACGTATATCGAACTCTTCTTCTTTTCCCCGCCGCGCGGTTTTTTTTTCTCTCGCGTGTTCGCGCGCGTACGTATCTACCGTATTTTATGCATAGATGTATGAAAACGGCGACAAAAATAGAGATGCACAATTAAAAAAAAAAGAAGAGAGAGAGAGAGAGATTAAATTATTGGAAAAGTTCAAAGAGTTGGAGTCAAAATAACGAAAAGAAAAAAGAAGGAAATCTGCAAGCTACAAGTTTTGGAAAGAGCGAGAGAGAAAAACGAGGCGCAAGAGTTTGCATTTCAAGTTTCGATCATCCAGAAGCTCTTTATACTTTTATGTATGCTTTTTTATTCTTTAACTTTTTCACTCTCTCTCTCTCTCTGTATCCATCTCTGTCTCGGAGTTTCTGCTGCTCCGATTTTGATATACTTGTACATAATAAAAATGGACTTTGGTACATATACACGATATATATACGTTAGTACCACGACGTCATCGACGCATACACACACACACGCACACACATACGAGCTCGAACGAAGGAATAAACTAATTTTAGGAACGATCGATCGCATACATATAATATAATATGTACACATGTATGTCAGGCTCGCACGGGATGTAGCATACACGTATAAGCAGCAACACACGTACTCCGATCACAGTGCCTGCCTCATTGCGGGGATGCTTGAGCTACCTTCTCTCACCCCGCTTGCGAGCTGCTGCTGCTGCTTCTTGTTACATTGAAACGTATCCTATATGTATTGTACGCAAGTGAGAGCATCGCAACGCCGAGCGAGCCTCGACCGCCGACGCGTCTGTGCACGTGGGGTATTTGCTCGCAATTGGCAAAACTTTGCGTGCGCAAGCTCGGTCGCACACACACACACACACACATGTGATCGTCCAATATACATACATGTAAAGTCTCGTTTTAACAAAAGACAGGCTGAGAGTGTTATATCGGTCCGAGAGCCTACATGCAGATGATGCTAAAAGCTGCGGTGACTCTCTTATAATACCTGCATGGCAAATAGCAACGCCTCTATCTATATGCGCATCTCTCGGCTCTTTTCATAGATATATACATACGTACGAGCACGCGTGCGGTAAGTTTCGTTAGTCGTCGAACTAT